CCTGGGGGATTAGTTAAAAACCCTGCTTTGCTTGTTTCTGATCACTTCCAAGCCCATGTTACATAGAGTGCAAAAGCCATCACAGCGGACTTGAAAACCCAACTTGCTGTGATACCTGGTGGGCTAACCAACCAACTGCAGCCTCTTGACATGTCGGTGAACAAGCCCTTTAAGGCCCTAATGAAGAAGAGTGGACATCATGGATGCAGTCAGCTGGTAATGGTTTAACACCTACAGGCAGGATCAGGAAAGCATCCATCACCCAGGTGTGTGATTGGATCCTAAGACTGTGGAACAGTGTCAAGAAGGAAGTGGTTGTGAAATCGTTTAAAAAATGCAGTATCAGCATTGCTGTGGATGGAACTGAGGATGATGATGAAATTTACCAGGATGAAGAAAGTTACTCTTCAGAAGACATCGGTAATGTAGAAATTGAAGATGATACTTGTGAATGACAGTGACTAAGAGTTCTTGGCCTTCTGTGAGGTGTAAATATCATACAATTGTTACCAGTATGTAAAATTTCTTGTACCTTGTATCTCTTCTTGTGTTTTGTAATTATGTTATGATAAATTTTTTGTACCACACTGTTAAAAAATAAGTGCTAAAATTCCTTTATAATACAAAAAACAAGTATCTAAATATAAATAAGTAAGTAATTGAATTTAAATATTGACACGAAAGATTTTTTCCCCCTGAAAGTTTGGGCCCAAAACATGGGAGTGCATTCTACACAGCAAAATACGATACTTTCTAAGGTATTTGAATCACTCAGGAAGGGGTAACCTCAGGAAATGGTGATGCCGTAGGAGAACAGGAGATGTCAGTGAAAGTGTGTGTTGACACATGAGGCATCTAGTTCCCATTCTCCACAGGCTCCTCTGCTGCTGACAGCCAGGCTTTTAACCCTAGTCAGGAAATTGGAGCTTCTGTGAACTGATTCAAGAGAAAAGACCTACAGTCACTACCATTTAGTATTACTCCAGTGAAAAAACTAGCTTGCTGCCCTAGTGTCCTAAGATGAAGTTCCACTGACAAGGCCTGCTCATTCAGGGAGTTCCTTTTAGCTGTTTAGTGCCCTATTCAGAAAAAGGAATGTTCACCTAGGCCTCTTCAGACATTTAGAGAAAGTTTCCAACATAAAAGACAGATCAAAACAAATGCATGGAAAAGAAGTAACTCGGAGAAAAAGTTAGAGCATAGAGAAGAGGAAAAAACCCTCATTGAAAAACATAGCAGCCTTAGATAAAGTCATAGCCATGAAATAAGAGTAATCCACTAGAAAGAGAAAGGGCAAAGAGAAAATGAGTTCTTAGATCTTAAACTTACGGCAGAAATGTAAAGATTAAATAAAACAAGATAAAGTCAAAAACTTTAATATATGGAAAATAAAAGAATAGGGGAATGAATGTGTAAGGTCTGCAACTATTCAAATGTCAGGAAAAGGAGAGCAGAGAAACTGGAAGGTACGCAGGAAAACTTCGCAGAGCTGAAGGACTGAAGGATAGGAGGTCACAAAATGAAAATGAGAGCTCACTGAGTACATAGGCAAATAAATAGAAAATAACTCACATTAAGGCAAAATGTAATGAAATACTGGAGTGTAAGGATAAAGAGAAGATTTTAAATGCACCTGGAGGAAAGGAACAGTCACTTAAAAAGGCTCGGGGATTAAAATGCCACCATACTTCTCATTAACAGTAATTTCTCATTCAGGAAGCCGGAAGACAGTGGAGCAGTGCCTTTCTAATACTAAGGGAGATGATTTCCAACTCAATTCTCTTTCCATCTGAACTAACAATCAAGTATAAATATAGGCTCAAGATATTTCCAGACAGGTGAAGTCTCAAAATGAGCCCTCTCACATGTCCATCTCGGGAATCATCACAGTGACAGCTAGCACTTCTGTGCTGTCCTCTGCGTGCTCCCCTTCACCAGTTTACAGCAACAGCATGAGGATATTATGATTTCTCTGTTTTGCAAGTGGGGAAACCAAAGCACAGAGAATTAAGTTCCCAAGGCCACACAGCTAGGAAGTGGTGAGATTGGGATTCGAACCTGGGTTGTCCTAACTCCGCTGTTATATTGCCTCTACTTGAGGGGAACAAACAAAGAAACAAAAAACTGTGGGAAATGAGATCATGCCCAGGAGCAGGGAAAAGGAGGCCCAGGAGCAGGGAAAAGGAGCCCCAGGCTGAAAGTGAAGGGATGTTCTCAGGTCGTAGCAGTATACAAGGAGGTCCGGAATCCAGCTGGTCTAGAGTGGAACAGGCAGGCAGAGGGCTCCAGGGAAGAAAAGTGGGACAGACATGACCAATGTGTTTGGTCATACTGAGAGTCGTCTCACTGTTAGAGAGCGAACTGTGATATCTATATGGAAGAGCAAAAAGATGGGAAAGAATACCTGTGAAAAGAGAGATTGTCATAATATATTGTGTGGCCCTGTTTGGAGAGTATCTGTAGACATTGTAAGGTAAATCCTGAATATTGCGTTCTCTAAGCATTGTGACTGGGGGGTGGGAGGGGATGGGGAAAGTGCGTTTAGTGCAAGTGTGCGTTATGTGGGGCCAGTGGGTGTGGTGTAGAGAATTCAATCCTCAGCTGTGCTGCCGTGAAATTATGCCCCTTTAATTTAAAAATCTGTGCTGTGTACTATCCTTATTGCGAAATTTACCATAATGTAAACTGTTAATGGCTTGTACTGTTCATTTCCAAACTTTTTGGCAGTTAACATTTCAGTCAAGACAATTATATTAATTTTTAAATCAGATTCTGCTGAGTAAGGGTAAATTAACCTCACAGATATCTTCTTTAAGGGGCAAATACCTAAGATACCAGTTCTTAAAAGGAAAGTTACTCCATCGCTCTTAATATCCGTTTGTCTTTTATTTGCTTATCCTAATTCTTGCCAGGTTTTGCTACTGGCTAAAGCTATTTGTATTTCATCAGGGTGTTCTCTTTCTCCTCTTTACCCCTCTTCTCACCTGTTTCTCATGAATTGTTTTGTTTTTATTTTGGGTTTAAAAGTTGTTGGAATACTTAGGTAATTACAGAGTAATGAAGAATTCTACCTGCCTCGTGATGTTTCAGGTCAGGTACCTGAGATATCTGCCAGCGTTTCAAGGCAGTTCTTTGCCTTTCCTCCTTGGACTTCCAGATTTGCTTTTCTGTTGTTGGGTTGTGCGGTTATAGCCACATACTCTGCTTTCCCACTAAGTCATGAAGCTCTTTCTTTGAAGAGATGATACTTGATTGTATCATTTTGAGTAAATAAAACAAATTTGGGGGGAATACTAGCTAAGTACCAGGCAGGGTGCTGTATATTCACTTTTCATATTCAATATCCAGTATAGGCCTGTGCATAGTCAACCATTGCCCTCTGATAGGATTTCATTATTCCTGTCAGTGTGATAGGAATTTGGTGATTGTAATTTTTGTGAACCAAGATGAGAAACCTTAAAATAATTTTTGTCCAAAATGACATTGGAGGTAATTAAAATTAAGTGCTGCTGTTCTTGGTGGTTGTTATTTTTAATAACTAGCCAATATAGCTGTAGATACATAGATTTCAGCAAGACTTTTGACAGTTTCTCCTTGTAAACAAGGACACATGGAGGCTGGTAGAGAAAACAGTTAATAGGATTTATTGCTGGTTGCAGAACTCTTCCCAGCACTGTTCTAGAGAGACCTAAAGCAACATAACACAGGTTTCTGCGCTGGTCTCTGGCCTGTTTGTGAATTTGGATGACGACTTAGAGGCACATATGCTCACCAGCAGATGAGAAGGCTAAGGGGAATAACTGAAAACGTGTGCCAACTAAGGGTTTTGAAAGATCACAGACGTAAGGATGAATTGCAAGAGACAAAGAATTTTAAGAGTGGTAGTTCTTGTCGTCAGGTAAAAGTATCACTATAAAGTTAAAGACGAGCTAAGAACTGGCCTAACTGCAGTGGAGATAAAAAGCACTTGAAATTTGTGAGGTCATGGGAATTTGTGGTGTGTGTTGTAGTTGTCTCCAAAGAACTGAAGGCCCCGGGGACACAGATGGCAAAGGTGCAGAACAAAGGCAGTGCAGCAGCATGACGCTGAGTTCGGCAAGATTGGCCAGGTCACGTTTGGAACATTGCACCCGGTGTTACGATATTAAAATGGTTTCATTATGCAGCATTTTGTGCATACAAAAGGACACGTGCAAGTTGTGAAGTAAACAAAACAGATATCTAAGGGCCTTAATCGCGGCTTAAGAACTAGAGCGTTTTGAAAATCGTGGACCTGTATTTTCCTTCTCGACCCTAAAAGTAACCATCATCTTGAATCTGTCCCTTCCTTGCTGTTTCAAAAATAATTCTGCCATGTTATGTGTGTGTTTCTAAGCAATATATTATTTTTGAACTTTTTGAGTTTTATTAAAATACAGTTACACTGTTGTGCAACTTTGCCACTCGCTGTTTACATTCAGCATTGTTTCTAAGATTCATGTATATCAGTTGTTCTCAACCAGAGTTTCCCATTTGGACTATAGAACACAGAAGATGATTTGAGTGCCTATTTTCTCATGCTTCTCTAGCATGTACACTGGAGAGCAGCTGTCTAATTACATACAATGGATGCTTGAGACTAGGCAGTGGAGCTTAACTCTCTCCTGGAACCTGAGCTGTTACATGTAGTTCTATCTAGTTAATTAATTTTGACTGCTGTGAAGTGTGCCATTTGTGAGCATACTAATGCTTTTTCACATGTTCTCCTATGATGAACATTTGGGTTGTTTCCCATTTTCTTGCTGCTGCTGCTGTTTTGTGACCGGCTCTGCCGCAACCACTTTGTACATATCCCTGGGTATACACGAAGAAATGTTTCTCTAGGTATACATCTGAGTGGTATTGCTGGAGACTGTCACATTTTCTTGGGGACATGGGTAAACTGGAGTGAATACAGAGGAGGGCAAGTAAGAAAAGTTCAACTGTATCGTAACCAACCTTTATTTTCCTTATTTTCTTAGGGACTGAAGAGGTTAATGACCATTTGTCAGAAGCACTTTCCTACTGATCCCTCAAAATGTGTGGAGTACAATGCACTCTGAGATCTGTGTACGATGTGCAGATGACAAGGAGAGACTTAAGGGAGCATGGTTCGGACTCCTGGAACACCAGCAGGAACAAGGGAGGAAGAAAAATGGATTTCCTCAACTCTGGGTTCTACCTAATGCAGCTCTTGGTTTTAAGAAGTGTCTTGGCACTCATACCACATCTGACTGCAAAGTGATTTCTGTCTTGCTGACATTTTAAATAGTTGAAAAATTAAGTTCAAGAAGACTTTCCCCCTAATTTAAATGTGCAGACAGCGGTCACAGAAGGGGCTTTAAAATGACTCCTTTTCCTCTAGACCTGAAAGTTGCAGTTTGATGATTGAAAAGGTACATATGATGGTGGACTTAATTGTTTCTGTAAAATATGGCAATTTTCACATCATCCTTTATGTCATATTTTCAGAAAGTATTTTCATATATTTCAACAAAAATATGGAACCATTTAACAAAACTTCACAATCCTTAAATGTTGCTGAAAGTTAAATGTTGCCGATTTACATGGTGGGGCCGCCGGACCTCAGCGACGCCTCAGCGGACCTCAGTGGCCACGGTGGTGGCTGCTCTGGACCTCAGCGGCATTGTTGTCCAGGTGGCAGGTGCTCTGGACCTCAGCGGTGTCGTGGTCGAGGTGGTGGACCTCCGTGGCAGCTTGGTCATGGTGGTGGGTGGTCTGAACCTCAGCGTCATGGTGGTCCTGGTGGTGAGGGCTCCAGATTGCAATGTCACTGTGGTACCTGCTCTTCACCAGCCTCTCAGGTGGACTCCCACACCAGCTCAACACAGGAATAGTCAATCTCAAACTCCTCTCCAACTGCTCGCACAATTCTGTCTCCTCTCTTTCCTCCTCACTCCTTACTCTCCAACAGCTCACAAAGCGGGATGCTGGCCTTCTTTTAGCCAAGTATCTGTGGTAACCGAGGGAAGGGGCGGAGCCTGTGAGCTCATAAGAGGGACTTTGACCCCAACATGTCTACTGTTGGGAACATTTAAAAAAAAAAATTCGAGGTTCCTATGTTTGTCTTAGCTCAGTTACCCATTGACCATAGGTGGCATTTTGAGTATTTGTCACAGTCCTCAGCCTCCCTGGGTCTGGTGGAGGGGACACATTTCTATCTAGGGTTAGTACACCTCAAGGTCCAGTGACAGACCTTTGCCGCGCTTGCCTAATCGCCGACCACGCCCCACGGCCCACGTGGTCATGTAGTCCTGGCCCTCACAGCACAGGCCAGAGGCGGGGTAAGGCCTAGCACAGTCCCTCTTGGGACCCTCATCTTGGTTCCATTGCTCAGTTGTTGTGCACACACCACCTGTCTGCTCTGTACCCTTTTTCCACAGGTTGATAAACTTGGGATCCATTCTGTCATCATCCATCTAGTTTGGCGTGGCTGTTCATTGCATTTGTGAATTTGTGTGTCTGGCTTGGTGAAGTATTTGCATTTCTTAGTTTCCATGATGCTGACCGTTTTTGTTCATGGCTTTTGTGAAAGACACCGTTGTCTTCATTTCTCCTGCACTTTCCTGCAGCTTGCAGAGAGCTTGCTCGTGGCCCTGTGCTCCAGGGTCGGGATGGGTGAGGACTAGCACCCTGCCACTGCCCTCGTGCCACTCACCACACTCTGTGGGTCCCCACCTGGCTACTGGCTCCGCTGCAGGATCTCTGACTCTTCCCCGGGCTCTGGACCAGGCCCTGCCCCACTGAGGAGCCCTGTGCCCATCTGCTGTCTTGGCCATGACATGGCCACAAAAATAATTTTTAAGAAATAGTTTAGAAACAGTTCCTCACATGCAATTTAAACCAGCCACTGACTAAATAATTCCTTTATATATTCTGTTCTCTCAAACTTTTTTGCCCAAATTCCTATACACCTTAGCTGAAGGAACGTGCTTTACTTTTCTAATTATAAGGGAACTTCAAGAATCTGCAGGCAACCCAGGTATATGCCCTAACTGGAAATCAGCCTGTAACCTTTCAGCTATGCGACATGCGACTATACTCCAAGCAACTGAGCCACAGTGGCAAGGGCTATGATGATATTTTTTTATTTTTTCTTAAATATATATTTTATTGATTATGCTATTACAGTTGTCCCATTTGTTTTTCTCCCCTTTATTCACCTCCAACCGGCACCCTCCCACTAGCATTTCCCCCCCCCCTTCCTTAGTTCATTTCCGTGGGTCATATGTATAAGTTCTTGGGCTTCTCCATTTCCTATATTATTCTTAATCTCCCCCTGCCTATTTTGTACCTACTATTTATGCTGCTTATTCCCTGTACCTTTCCCCTAATTCTTCTGTTTTACTGTTTGTAGGTTTTGATCTTCTTTTTCTTAGGTAAGTCTCTAACATCTCATATGATAAGGGCTTGGTGATGATGAACTTATTTAACTTCACCTTTTCTGGAAAGCACTTTATCTGCCCTTCCACACTAAATGATAGCTTTGCTGGATAGAGTAATCTTGGATGTAGGTCCTTGTCTTTCATGACTTAAAATACTACTTTCCAGCCCCTTCTTGCCTGCATGGTTTCTTTTAAGAAATCAGCTGATAGTCTTATAGGAACTCCTTTGTAGGTAACTCTGCTTCGCTCTTGCTGCTTTTAAGATTCTCTCATTTTTAATCTTGGGTAATGTAATTATGATGTGCCTTGGTATGTGCTTCCTTGGGTCCAACTTCTTTGGGACTCTCTGAGCTTCCTGGACCTCCTGGAAGTCTTATTTCCTTTGCCATATTGGGGAAGTTCTCCTTCATTATGTTTTCGAATAAGATTTCAATTTCTTTCTCCTCCTCTTCTCCTTCTGGCATCCCTGTGATTCGGATGTTGGATCGTTTAAAGTTGTCCCAGAGGTTCCTAAGCCTCTTGTTATTTTTTTTTGAATTCTTCTTTCTTCATTCTGTTCTTGTTGAATATTTGTCTCCTCCTTCTTCCAATCAGTGATTTGAGTTCCGGTTTCCTTCTCTTTACTGTTGGTTCTCTGGATATTTTTCATTTCACTTTGCATAGCTTTCACTTTTTCCATTTTGCAACCTTACTCAGCCAATTCAGTGAGCATCCAGATTACCAGTGTCTTGAACTGTGCATCTGATAGATTGGCCGTCTCTTCCTGCTTAGTTCTGTTTTTGGAGCTTTGATCTGTTCTTACATTTGGGCCATATTTCTTTGTCTCAGCACACTTGTTAGGTTGAAAGGGGCAGAGCCTTAGGTATTCACCAGGGTGGGGTAACCCACTTAGCTATGTTGGGGTGCCGTGGTGGGGGAGGGGTCAGAGAGGGAACAGTGCTGTCTGCTCCACTCTGGGCAAGGTTTCAGTCACTTCCCTTGCTACCCACAAGAAAATTGGGCCTTTCTAGTGCTGATTCCCAGGTGGGTGGGTTTGTGTACATTCTAGGACCCTGTGGGTCTCTCCAACAGACCCTTCTATGAGGCTGGGAGTTTCTCCTGCTGCCACAACCCCCACAGGTTTTTACCTCCAGAGGTTTTGAGGCTTTCTTTTTCCTGCACTGGAACCCTGGATTGTGCGGTCTGTCTTGCTCTCCAGCTGTTCCTCTGGTTTATCCGCACGCAAATGTGGGACTGCCCAGTTCTCCAGCCGCTGCTTGCCGCACATCCTTTGCACCTCAGCTGCCCATCTCCACCCCTCCTACCAATCTAGATGAATGTTTCTTGACTCCTTGGTTGTCGGACTTCCATACAGTTTGATTTTTCTGGCAGTTCTGGTTATTTTTTGTTTCTAAATTTGTTGTCCTTTTGGTTGCGCAAGGAGGCAAGTGTATCTACCTATCCTCCATCTTGGCTGGAAGTCTACAATATTTTTATAAAATTCACTTAGAGTCCTTTGGGTACAGGTAGGATAACCCAGTCTTGCAGCATCTGAAGTACATAATGGCACATAGGAAAAAAAAAAAACCAAGAACTCTGGGTTCTATACCCAGACCCACATCTAAAGAGGGGTGTAAAACTTGCATAAGAGTATTACCTGCTGTGATTGTAACACTGAAATGGAAATACCAATATCTGTCCTCTGTATCCTACCAGATTGCAGTAAGAATAAAAGTTTGTTTTTCAGTGAAAAACAGTAGCCTCTATTCTATCAAGAAAATTTAACATGGGGAAAGGAGTGGTACCAGCAGTTTGCTGCCAAGATTGTCGATCTCATTAATGTAAAGTTTTAAATATAATTTTCCTGTTAAGGATGTAGTGATGTGAGTGATTGATAGGGGTCAGGAGTTGGTATAGCATGAGTTAGGGGTTTCAATAATTAGGTCTTCGGCATAAGATCCTGTTGAGAAAAGTATTCCTGTTAATGCCAGAATTCCAATAATGAGTGTGGTGATAGTGAAGGACAGTGCTTTGAACAGTCCATCCATCTTTCAAATATCTTGTTCTTCGTTCAGGCTGTGAACAATAGACCCTGAACATAAGAATAGAATGGCTTTTAAAAATGCGTATGTACACACACAGCAAAAGGCTTAGATCAGGTTTGTTAATGCTGATGGTTACAGTTATTAGGCCTCGGCTTGAGGTGGAGAAAGCTATAGTTTTTTGAATGCCATTTTGGGTGAGGACACCAACTGCTATAAATAGTGTGGTGGCTGCTCCTAGGCATGACATTGTTTGAATTAAGATTGTTTTCTGTAAGTGGGTGGAGTCAGATTAATGGAGAAATGCCTGTTTGAGTGGAGTAGTTCTGAGACGGGTGTAGGGCCTTCCATGGCCGAGGACAGTCATGGGTAATCCGAATTGGGCTGATTGGTAGCAGCTGGGAGGAATCTGGTTAGCAAGAAGTCAGCGTTGTGTAAGAAGATCTGTTGTAATTCTTGTATTAAGGTTGAATGGGAATCATGCATTGATAAAATAAAGCTGGTATCTCCGATATGGTGATGTAAGATTGCTTGCAGGGCACAGTAGTAGTATCTGCTCAGCCGTGGCATCAGCCAGTTAACAGGAATGATGTAATTCCTACTCTCTCAGCTAATAAATTGAAAACCATCGTGAGTGGTAACTTGGATTAGTACTGTGATGAGAAATACCAGCAGGTACCTGAAGAATACACTGACTGACATTTGGATCTGAGTGCCTGTGTCATATTGAGAAGGCCTTAACAGATCACATGACAAGTAGTGCTCCTGGTATATGAGTAAATGCCTCTGAGAACTAGTCTAGTTTGACTGATAGTTCCATAGTTCAAATTGTTACTCAGTGTCAGTTAGAAATTACTGTTTCTTGGCTGGAGTAGATAAACGTTACAGTGGGCATTGGGCTAGTGGAAATGGTGTATGAGATTACAGTTTTTACACAGTTTGGGAATAGAGTGTATTTCTGAATATTAGAGACAGTTACTATGACCAGTATATTTAGTGTAAGTAGTGCAATTATTATTGAGGCAATTAGCTTAATGTTCAGCGGGGCAGCACTGCGGTCTCTAAGAGCCCAGGGCGTACGTCACCAGCACGCACCACAGTAGATACGGATTCACTCTCAGCGCCCCATGGCTTCCCTCACTCACAAGCCAGGAGTCACCTGATTGTACTGTTACGCCTCCATCTGTCCACAAAAAGAAGATTGGGTTTGGGGCAAACACCTTCCCAAAGTTCAGTCATAGCAGGTTCAGCCAATTATTCTCTAATCAGCTTGGTGGAATAAAAAAGTGTTTTTTTGTTTGTTTTTGAAATAAGGTAACAGTTAAAAGGGATGAACTACTGAGGAGAGATAGGTGACTACGTAGCTTCCAATGTAAACCAGAAAGCTTTAAAAATAAGTACTAGGCATACTTTTTAAAAAAATCAGTTAATGGGGAGGTTTCATTATTTAAAAAAGAAGTGTTCTTTAAGACATTTTATCTAATTATGTGAATCTTATTTCTAATTACAAGACATGGAGTGGCACAGAGAGACACAGGTGGAATGGGTGGTTCCACCTCTACGTGTGGTGGATAAAAATTGGGAAGGATACCTAGGGAATGAGGGATCCTAGTTCCAGACCAGACCACCCAGCCCAGGGTTCCAGTGCCAGGAAGATAAGTCCCCATAACTACTGGGTGCGAAAACCAGTGTGTGTTGGGACAGCAGAAGAAACTGCCGGATACTCCACTTAAAGAGCCCACAACAGACTTAGGGCTCATGCAGACCCATCCCCTCCAGGATTCAACAGCAGGGCAACAGCTGAAAGGGCACCAGTGGCACACAAGGAGAAAGTGAAGTGACTGGCAAGAGGGCGAGTGCTGGGAGACAGCTTCCCCCTGGGCAAAACTCCAGAGGCCCGCCAATGGCAGTGTCCCCTCTCTGAGCCCTTGCCCACACGGAGCTGCAGAGCGGTGACACAGATTGCTCTGTCCTGGCGATTCCCTAAGGTCCACCCCATACAACTTGGTTTTTGATTTCTTGCTCTTTCTCTCCTCCTCCTGGCATCCCTATGGTTCAGATGTTGGTACGTTGAGATATCCCAGAAGTTACAACTTACAGTGTGTTTTTCTACAGTACGACACTATTAAGACAGGGAGTCAAAGCAGCTCTAACCACAGAAACAAACACAGGGAAGCTGCCAAATGAGACAAATATGGCCCAAATGAGAGAACTTACATTGATATGTAAAATGAATTCCTTTAAGTTGCATTACACAAAGAACTCTCCCTCAATGTGGCTTTAACTTCTAGATCTAACAACTTTTTTTTGTTAAATATGTAGATTCTTTACTAAATAAAAATTTTGTTTTTAAAAAGCCTACTTGAATTAATATTAATAATATAATATTATAAAATATATTTTTATATTTGTGGCTAGTATCTGGCATGTGTGTATAAATATTCATTAAAAGGCATACATCACTATAGTATTTAATTGATAATGACATTCTGTCACTATCAACAGGATTCTTTGAAATTTGTTTTGAATGAAACATATTTTCAGAATAATGAACATTCAGTCCTTATCATAAAAATTATACTCATGTTTTCATGTGTGTGACTCTGTTAATGCAGTGTGGGGAGTGTATTCTTGGGGTTTGAAAGCTGTGTAAGCTGAGTAGCCTTCAGGATGTTGTGGAAGATACAAGACATATCACATGTGAAGCCTGCATCAAGGGAGTTTGCAGTATTTCTTACAAAATAGGTATATTGATAATTAGCTTTTCTATACATTGGAAAGGGATACAGGTGCCCCAAAGAAATGGTGAGTGACACTGCTGACAGTTTAGGGAGGGGAGATTGACCTCTTTCATTTGGGGAGCATCTGGGATATGAGAAGAGTAAGACCATGAGCTCTTGGTGAGGTTCTAGGACAGAGCCTGTGAAGGAGGCGGGCGCGGGGGCAGAATGTGGTGTGCTCACGAAGACGAGCCAGGCGCTCAGACAGTGGCAGGGCTATGTGTGGAAAGTAGATGGAATCAGCTTAACAGAACTAAATCTCTGTAGCCCGGCCAGTGTGGCTCAGGTGGTTTGAGTGTCATCCCAGACATCAAAAGGTTGATTCAGTTTGTGGTGAGGGCATTTGCTTAGGTTGTGAGTTGGGTTTCTGGTTGGGTATAGGCAGAAGGCAACCAATCCATGTTCTCTCATATCCATATTTATCTCCCTCTCTGAAATATATATACATATATTTTAAATTATGTAGAAATTAATAAATTTGTATGTAATTGAAATTAAACCTTAAGAAACACTAGGATGGACTCCCACCTCTTCATTTCTTCATGTCTACTCTGGATAATTAGGTATGACGAAATCTCAAAAGAATACATAGAGTCAAATGAGAGAAACCATATGGGATTGTGAGGTCATTGAAATTACTGTGGTGTTACCGAAAAATAGGATTTGTGAATGATCAGATATTAAAGGAAAACAGAATTGAAAGAACAGTTCGGTGCTATTTGCTAAGCAGGCCTATGACCTTGTTAAACATGATTGCCATTTTACTCTTAAAAGCTTATGTCCCCAGACTGAAAAATTACTGAAAAAGCAAAAACAGAATGTGACTAACCTCTCCCCGTAGCTTCAGGTACAAGATAACATTGGGGAAAACTGCAACTTATGCAAAACCAACCCAAACCTCCTGTGTTGCAACGATCCTAATAGCCCAATGGCCACACAGCAGCCTCCCTCCCCACCACCGTTTTATAATCCAATGAAAACTCCCTGCCCTGATCTTTTGCCCCTAGTGCTGCCTCTCATGCCCTTAGGCCCCTTTCCTCCCTTGGACAGTGAATAACCTTTTGCT